ATATATATATATGAATTGATTAACTCAATTTTAGAGGCCAAGCAGCCTCACAACCTGCAAGCTAGAGAATTAAAGCTGGTGGCATAATTCAGTCCGGGTCTGAAGGCCTAAAAAATGCATATACCTACACACACACACACACACACACACACAGGTTTATTATAAACAATGACTCACAGGACTATGGAGACTGGGTGAACTGGATACCCATGAAAGCTGCCATGTATCTGTCTGCGTGCCAGCAGGCTTGAGGATGGAATGAGCCAATTTTTAGTCGGAGTTGGAAGGCAAGGAAAGAACTGTGTCCCAGTTGAAGGCATCAGGCCGAAGGAGTTCCTTCTCTATGTTCTTTAGCTAATTGGTTAGTGATGTTGAGGGAAAGGTGAAGCAGCGCAGAGGCGGCCGAGTTGCACTGTGCCCGCTGGCTGAGTTCTCACAGATGGCATGAAGTCAGCAGTGGGGCTGAGGGGGCGTGCCTCCTGGAGAGGCGGCCAGCAGTGCCAGCTTTGAGTTGCTTGTCGGAAAGTGCCCATATGTGTTAGGGGCCATCTGATTGCAGGGAACAGAAACCCATTCAACTTAGCTCTGGTAAAAGGGTTTTCTTAAAAACCATACAGGGGTCCTGATAGGAAATGAAGGACAGTTGGTCACCTGGTATGGAGCTGGACGATTGGCTGCTGGAGTTCCTCCCTCTGCCTGGGGGGAGTCAGCACACCTGTCTGCTCCTCAGCAGCCCAGCTTTGCTTGCACGCTCATGATCTCTCTGCTCCCCTCCGCTCACACCAGACTGGTTTCCACAGTGCCCACTTGGGTTCCTGTCCCGTGAAGCCTTGCAGCTAAGCTCCCCTCAGCTGACTCCGTCTCTGTGTCTCTTATTCAAAACAAGTAGTGTAGCCTGGCAGCAAGTGGTGTCAGGCCTCCGTGGCAGCCGCTGCATCTGTAGCCAGGAGGCAAGTGGGCTCATGAAGTCCAAATAGGCAGCTTGGTCTGTGGCCAGGAACACACTCTCTGGGAAGGGGTGCAGGTAGGTAGGGATGCAGTGACAGTTCCCTGTAGCATTCACGGTCAGCATCCTAGGACTGCGTGGATCTGAGGGTACAGTATCAGTGTTTAGAATGGTACTGACATAGTGCTGCCAGCCTTGACCCATCACATAATTAGGGACATTGAGGACAGTGGTTCTGAAACTCAAGCTCACATTAGAACCCCTAGGCAGTGGTTCTCAACCTTCTGGCCCTTTAAATACAGTTCCTCATGTTGTGACCCAACCATAAAATTATTTTCGTTGCTACTTCATAACTGTCATGTTGCTACTGTGATGAATCGTCATGTAAATATCTGATCTGCAGGATGGTCTTAGGCGACCCCTGTGAAAGGGTCGTTCGACCGCCAAAGGGGTCGTGACCCACAGGTTGAGAACCGCTGCCCTAAAGGGTTTGTTAAAACACCTCCAGAGGTTCTGCTTTCTGTAGGCATGGGGTGGGGCCTGAGAATTTGCTCTTAAATTCCCAGATGATCTGCTACTGGCTCTAAGACCTCACTTTGAGAACCACTGCTTTAGGGGAAAGATTTGTTGGGCAGGGGTGAAGTTCTTTTTGCTGTTGCTTTTTGTGTTTTTCTGTTGTCTGTCACTGAATGAAAGAATTGTACTTTTTTATTAATGAAGGTGATTTTTGCAATGAATTAGCTACAGGGTGGAAGAGCCAGAGACATTAGTGGAACTTCAAAAGAACGAGTGGGACCCAATCCTAGAATGGGCTGAGAAAAGGTAAGGGCTACCGTCTTGACCTCACAATATTTTGTAAGCTTATGTGGAGTAGTTTTGGGCATAGTTTTTTTTTCACAAAAGTGATACCTGTCAGTCAGTCTGTGTTATTTGTACACATTTTTTGAGTGCCCACTATGTGCCAGGCATCCTTGGATTCTATAGTAAAAGGCATAGAGAGTGTATTAAAGGATCAAGTAAAATGTAACAAATATAGTGCTGTGTAAGAACTATGAGGATACAATGTCACTTTTGTGTCTAATGAAATACAACAATATTTACGTACCTGGAGATCTTTGTTACAATACAAAATTGTTAGCTTTTTGTGGCAGTTGAGATTTCTTGTTAATAATTTACAGAAAGCCCTAACTGGTTTGGCTCAGTGGATAGAGCTTTGGCCTGTGGACTCAAGGGTCCCAGGTTCGATTCCGGTCAAGGGCATGTACCTTGGTTGTGGGCACATCCCCAGTAGAGGGTGTGCAGGAGGCAGCTGATCGACGTCTCTCTCTCATCGATGTTTCCAACTCTCTATTCCTCTCCCTTCCTCTCTGTAAAAAATCAATAAAATATATTTTAAAAATAAAAAAATAATTTACAGAAAAACTGGGCCATTTGCTATGTTCCATTGGTACTATTAGAAATTTCAGAATATTTCTAAACCAATGGGAAAAATCAGTGATATGTGAAAGAAAATACGGCTTCTGGTCAAATGGCAGAGTAGGTAAATGTGGTACTTGCATCTTCCCATGACCACATCAAAATTAAAACTAAACTAAAGAACAACCATTGTTGAGAACTACCTGATATTTAGCTGAACAGATGTCCCATAACTAAGGATATACAGAAGAAGCCACATGAGACTGGTAGGAGGTGTGGAGATGCAGAACAGGCAGGTCCCACACCCACGTGTGATGGTTAAAAATCAGGAGGGATATCTCAGCTGTCGAGGTCCCCCCTCAAGAGAGAGGGGTCCCAATCCTACACCATGCTTCCTAGGCCAAGTTCCAGTGCCTGGAAGAGAAGCCCCCATAACCTCTAGCTGTGAAAACCAGCGGGGATTATGGGTGAGTGAGGAAAGGTTGTTGGAGTCCCATGTGTTCCTCTTAAAGGGTCTGTGCACAGACTTATTAGCTCTGAACTCCAGCACTAGGGTAGCAGCTCTGAAAGCAGTTCTCAGTGAGAACTTCAACAGAGCGATAGAAAATATAAAAAAGGACCAGTCAGAAATGAAGAATTACATAACTGAAATGAGGAATACACTAGAAGGAATCAACAGTACAGTAGATGAAGCAGAGGATTGAATCAGCAATTTGAAACATAAGGTAGGAGAAAATACCCAATTAGAACAGCAAAAAGAAAAATGAATACCAAAAAAAATGAGGATAGTTTAAGGGGCTTCTGAGTCAACATCAAACGTACCAACATTCACTTCATGAGGGTGCCAGAAGGAGAAGAGAGAAAGGAATTGAAAACCTGTTTTAAAAAATGACAGTTTCATCTAATTTGGTGAAAGAAAAAGGTACACAAGCCCAGGAAGCACAGAGTCCCAAACAAGATGAATCCAAGGAGACCCACACCAAGACACGATAATTAATATGCCAAAGGTTAAAGACAAAGAATCTTAAAAGCAGCAAGAGAAAAACAGTTACCTACAAGGGAGTTCCCTTAAGACTTTCAGTTGATTTCTCAACAAAACCTTAGCAGGCCTGAAGGGATTGGCATGAAATATTCAAAGTGATGAAAAGCAAGGACCTACAACCAAAATTACCCAGCAAAGCTCTCATTTAGAATTGAAATTCAGGTAAAGAGCTTCCCAGATAAGAAAAAAGCTAAAGGAGTTCATCACCACCAAACCAAAATTACAAGTAATGTTAAAGGATCTTTTTTAAGAAGAAAAAAAATCAAGAATATGAATAATAAAATGGCAATAAATACATATCTATCAACAATTACTTTAAATACAAATGGATTCAGTAATCCAATCAAAAGACAAGAGTGCCTGAGTAGATATGAAAGCAAACTCATATATACGCTATCTACAAGAGACTCACTTCAGATAGAAAGATACATACAGACTGCAGTAAAGGGATGGGAATGTTATTCATGAAAATGGGAACAAAAGCTAGAATAGCAATACTTATACCAGACAAAATAGACTTTAAAAGAAAGTCTACAACAAGAGACAGAGAAAGACCCAGCAATTCTACTTCTGGGTAATTATTTGAAGAAACCCCAAAACATATGCATCTGTATGTTCATTGAAGTATTTACAGTAGCTAATAGACAAATGGATAAAGAAGATACGATACATATATACAGTGAAATATTGGCCATAAAAAAGAACGAAATCTTACCATTTACGACAACATGGATGGACTTACAGGATATGTGCCCAGAGAAAGACACATACCATATGATTTCACTTATATGTGGAATGTAAACAACAAAATAAAACAAACAGACCCAGAAAATTTTGATAGTTGTCAAAGGGTTAGGGGCTTGGAGGCTTGATGAAAAAGATGAAGGGACTAAGAAGCACAAAAAATTGCTCCTTGGCTGGTGTGGTTCAGTGGTTAGAATGTTGGCCCATGCACTGAAGGGTCATGGGTTTGATTCCTGGTCAAGGGTTGCAGGTTCAATCCCCGGGCCCCAGTTGGGGCTTGTGTGATAGGCAACCAATCGATGTGTCTCTCTCACATCCATGTTTCTCTCTCTCTCCTCCCATGCCCCCTCCCTCCTTTTCTCTCTCTCTAAAAAGCAATGGAAAAATATTCTCAGGTGAGGATTTTAAAAAAAAGCTCAAATTGGTAGCTACAAAATAGTCATGGGGATATAAAATTTAGCATAGGGAATATAGTCAATAATTTTGTAAATAGTATGTACGGTGCCAGATGGGTACTAAATGGCGTTTATTCCATTATGTTTTTCCTGTATTTTATGTAGCTATGATTGTTCTTGAAAATGTATCATTTTTGAAGCCGGCTCATGTCCCATACAGAAAACAATGCCTTGTATATAGTAGAGGCTTAGTAAATATTTGATAAAGTGGTTGAATAATATAGGACCTACACAGATATTATTGTAAGGAAAACAATATTTGAAAGAAGTAATTTATGACCTCAATGTGAAAATTGTTTCTTAAAAAGTTTAAAAAGCAGGTAGCCCATGCTTTTGATGGAGATCCTAGGCAAAGAGAATTCCCTGCTGTAACAACTTGCTTACCTGTGCCTCCATTCAGGGTAATTGCTTTTTAAAAAAAATGTATTTTATTTTATTGATTTCAGATAGAGGAAGGGAGAGGGAGAGAGAGACGGAAACATCAATGATGAGAGAGAATTAACTGGCTGCCTCCCAGCGTGCACCCCACTGGGGATTGAGCCCGCAATCCCAGCATGTGCCCTGACTGGGAATCGGACCGTGTCCTCCTGGTTCATGGGTCTGTGCTCAACCCCTGAGCAACACTGCCAGGACAGGGCAGTTTCTTGATCCTCTGGCTTTGCTCATGATAGAAATTACTAGGTCAGGAGGTCACTGACCACTATGGTAGTTGCTCCCAGAATCCCCGAGACTGACTTCTTCACCACTTGCCCTCAAGGGGTGCACACCCGCTTAGCAGTTTAGGGCTTTGCTTCTGGGCAGAGCTGAAGTGCACAGCAACCAAAGCCTTTCCTTTCAGGTATGGCGTGGAGATTGGCTCTTCCACCAGCATAATGGGGCCCAGCATCCCAGCCAGGACTAAGGAGGTGCTCATCAGCCACCTGGCATCTTACAACATGTGGGCCCTACAAGGTATGCAGGCATTTCCTAGGCCTGGGGGTGAGGAGGGATCGGCATGGGTGTCCATAGCTGGAGGGTCACAGGAGCGCGTAGGGGTGGGTCTGATGCTCACTTTTTGCTCAGTCTGAGGGACAGCAGGCTCACACCCTTCCAGGAGAAGGTTGGCTTTCTCTTCATAAGTTCAAGTCTCATCGACCCATCCGTGAACCAGTCACTGGGGCAGGGTGGAATGGTTCCAGTCACGTGCCCACTCCAGGTAGGAGCAGAGGAGGAGGATGGATCTAGAGCCGGTCAAGAAGCCCTGTGCCCTGTGACTTGTCTCCCCACCTCTAGGGTGTAGGGACTCACAGGAGTAGGTCTAGCAACTGCTCTGTTTCCGGGTGGAGGTGTTCTGGATCCTGACTTGGCTTGTGTCCCTGAAGGGATTGAGTTCGTCGTGACCCAACTCAAGTCTGTGATGCTGACCTTGGGCCTGATGGACCTGCGCCTGACAGTGGAGCAGGCCGTGCTGCTGTCACGCCTGGAGGAGGAGTACCAGGTGAGGTTTGCAGCGGCCCAGAGGCGAGCACCTCAAGTCCCCGCCTCCCCCCTCAGATTCAGACTACCTGGGGGACCGGGGGTAGCTAACCCATCTATTTTATTACTTCTGTGTAAATAACAAACTGCAACAGGTGGTGATAAAATCACGGTGAGTACTACCACTGCTTCCCAGCATCGTGCTCAGCTCTCCCTCATTGCCTTACCTCCTCCTCTGAACAACCTGGTCAGGTGGGGGCTGCTGTTATGCCCATTTACACAGGAGGAAACCAAGGCACAGGTCAGTCCCTCAGAAAATGCTGGAGCCAGGTGACTCCAGGTCCAGGCCTTCACCCCCCACCCTGCAGGTGGCAAATCAAGATTGCTTGGGCCTGGCACACCTGAAAGTGGGCTATTAAAATGGCAGGGAGCCACGTGGTTGCTCTTGGAGACAGCCTTTGTGCCCTGACATCCATACAGGGCGTCTACGTGGCAGGGAGGGCAGCGTGAGCTGCTACTGTGCACGGTGCTGATGTAGTGACGTAGAATTAGGGTCTGTTCTGCTGTCATTTGCTTTTTAATTTTTTTTTTTTTCCAGAAAGGTAGGGAGAGGGAGAGAGGGAGAGAAACGTTGATGAGAAAGCAAAACATGGATTGGCTGCCTCCTGTACACCCCCTACTGAGGACTGAGCCCACAACTTGGACATGTGCCCCGACTAGGAATCGAACCAGCAACCCCTCGGTGCCCAGGAGGACGCTCAACCAACTGAGTCACACTGGCCAAGGCTGAATTGTTTTCTTAAATTCTCACCCAAGGACATGTGTACTGATTTTAGAGGAGGCGGGAGGAGAAAGATGTGACATCGATGTGACAGAGAACATCAGTTGGTTGCCTTCCCTACGTGTCCTGACCAGGGATCGAACCTGATATACTGCCGTGCACAGGATGATGCTCTAACCATTGGACACACCGGCCAGAGCAGGGCTTGCATTTGTTTAACTGAGAATTATGACAGTCTTTGCAACCTTTGCTATTGTTATTTCTCCAGCTTCCTAAAGTTAATTGCTATTACAAATTGGTTCCTAGCATGATGAAACCCTCTTATAATGGCAGTATTGCTCAAGTCCTTCTAGTCACCTCTTCAGAAAAATGCCTGGGAAAACTGGGTCTGTATCACAAAAGAGGATAGCTATTCTCTGAGTGTTAGAAGCACTTATGGGGTAGAGAGGCAACCTGTGAGGGTGTGAGGCTGGGGGGGCTCAGAGAGAGAGGAAGCCAGGAAACCTGGTTCTGGTCTGGGCTCTGCTTTTGACTGTGGGACCCAAGCCAGGCCGTTGTTTCCTGAACTTCACATTTGATCTGCCACAAAATGGGAGCGACCTGGATTGTGCGCGCTCTGAAAGGAGAGTGTGCTCTTCAGGTGGCTAATCACACTTGTCCAGGTGAGACGAGGAGCCCGGAAGTGCCAAGGGCTGCTGTGGCCGGGCTGACTCTTCTCCGAGAAGGTGGGCGGCTGGGCCAGGCTTCCTGGGCCCGGGCCAGGGAGGAGTCAGCAGGGCGGAGTGCAGCTCTACTGACATCTGGATAGCCACACTGTCTGGGGTTTCTCCTGTAGCTTAGAGTCTGGAGAGAGGTCTACAGCCCTGCCCTAGGAGTCACAGATGAAATGACAGTGTGGCCTTGGTTGATGTTTTTCATCCCACTTGCGTGGGGGCCACGTGCAGCCCAGCTGGTGAGGCAGCGCAGGGGAGCGTGGCATAGGTTGCCTGCGCCAGCCTCTGTGGGAAGATGTGAGAGAGGGGGGCACACAGGTGGGCCTCAGGGAAGATGCATGTGGTTTCGGTGCCTGCAGGCCCTCGGCCTGGATTTACCCTCCTAGACCATCCACACCCTGTGGAAGGCGGCGCCTGCTCTGGCCACCGGTGTGTGCCTCCCCGGCCTCCGCACCAGGTGTGTTGCCTGTTTGGGCAGGATGGGAGCCTGTGGCCCTCAGTCCAGCGGTAGGGTGGTGTGTGGCTCGGGCTTGCAGCAGCTGGGCACCGAGCTGCTCACTCAACATCTCTTGTCCTTTCCTCAGATCCAGAAGTGGGGCCACGTGGAATGGGCCCATGACTATGAGTTGCGGGAGCTCCGGGCACGCACGGCCGCAGGCACCCTCTTTGTCCACCTCTGCTCCGAGAGCACCACGGTCAAGCACAAGCTCCTGCAGGAGTGAGGCGGGCGGTGCGCATGGCACGCCGGGGACAGAGGCTGCAGAGCCCCGGCTCCCAGGCCTGCGGACACACGGCCCGGCCTCCACACGGTGTCGACTGGGGGCCTGAGACAGTGCGGCGGTCTGGAGGTCAGCTTGAGTCCACCCCAGGGCCCCTGCCCCAGCCAGCGAGGGGACAAGGTGTACGATGGCTTTCTCAACCCTGACTGTATTACACATTTCTCCACCCTGGAAAGATGTTGAGCCCTGTTTTCATTTGTGCCTCCACATACCCTCATCTCCTTGTGATACCTGGGGCTCACCTAGATCCCCAGCAGGTTGGTACCTGCCGCCTGTCGTCACCCCGTCCGCAAACACTCCATGAACTCTGTCTCTGTGGGGCCCTTGACCCTCAGCCCAAAAGCTTTCCCCGGGTGTTTAGTCAAACGATCTTTGGAAAGTGAGTCCTTTTTGGTCTAAGCTGATTGTTTCTACCTGTTCCTACCATTTCAGGAAAAAAGTAATAATGTACTCTTGAAAGTAGAAATGCCCATTATCTCTGGACGAAGATCCCTGGCGGCCTGGGCACATAGCTATCTGCACAGTCCTGGGAGGCGGCGGTGCCGTGTGCCAGGGCCCGGGGCGCGGAAGCTGCAGTCCGGTTTCAGGAGCACCGGCTTGCTGAGTGGCAAAGGGCGTCACTCCCAGTCCCGGGGCCCTGCCACACACCAGGTGCTTCGCCACGCCTCTCAGGCTTGTGCTCAGAGAAGGCACGGTCACGCCCACAGGACACTGAGCTCAGGCTGCAGGGTGATGGACGCCCACCTGTGCTCTTCACCGCCGGAGGGTCCCTGCGGCCCAGCTCAGTCACGCAGCCGCAGCCTCTGCCTTGTGCGGCTGCGCCTCGGCGCTCTGGCTTCCCTCCGCAGCACCCAGAGGAGAGCAGCCTGG